CTGGACAGCAAAGACAAAAGGTTAAAAGTAAAGTCAGGTACTTTTGACAGCCAATGGATGTTAATGGGGGTGCTTTCAGCTACCAAGGTAGATGAGTCCTTGAGAATTCCCAGGGGCCGAGATGTTCCTGAGAGGAGCAGCCAGGAGGGTGGATGAGGTCTCCAGCTGAATGTGTAAAGGAACAGTGGGCTGGGGAAAGGACCTGAGGAGGTCACAGGGGAGGAGACAGGAGTGGGGGAGAGGAAAGAAGAGTGGAGGGGAGGAACGGAGAAGGAAGAGAGAAGGGAGGAGGGGAAGAAGGAGGCGGGGAAGGGAAGAGGGAGGAGAGGATGGTGGAGAGGGAGGAGGAAGGGAGAAGAAGAGCAGGAAAAGGCCAAGGTGTGTGTGCCCTCCCTCCTCAGGTAAGGACTCAGTCCACAGAGGAACAACTGGCCTTGGGTTTGTCATCCAGTAATGGCTTCTCCTCTACCCCAATTAGTTACACATTCCTGGGTTTCAATCAGTTACATCATCTACTACCATGAGTCCCACCTCTATACAGCCAAGCATTCTCCATACCGCCACTCAGAACCCACAGGACCTTCCACCCATTCTCTGCCCAAGCTCCTGCCTTCTAGGGCAGGTCTAACTCCATTTCTCCTGGCCAGACAGGGACTATATTTCCTAAAACAAAAAGCTGAGGAGTGGGAGTTTACTTATGTAGATCAACTGTTACTCGCTGTTACCCACTGGATCAAAGAAAAGAACTGAATCTTTCTAAGGGAACACAGGGGTCAGGCATGAAGTTTCTGTCTTTAAAGACCGCGTAAGTGAAGATGCCATTAGCATCCTATTTCTTGACTCAATTATTCCATCAGACAGACAAAACTTTTCGGCCGGGCGCGGTGGCTCAAGCCTGTAATCCCAGCACTTTGGGAGGCCGAGACGGGCGGATCACGAGGTTAGGAGATCGAGACCATCCTGGCTAACACGGTGAAACCCCGTCTCTACTAAAAAATACAAAAAAAAACTAGCCGGGCGAAGTGGCGGGTGCCTGTAGTCCCAGCTACACGGGAGGCTGAGGCAGGAGAATGGCGTAAACCCGGGAGGCGGAGCTTGCAGTGAGCCGAGATCCGGCCACTGCACTCCCGCCTGGGCGACAGAGCGAGACTCCATCTCAAAAAAAAAAAAAAAAAAAACTTTTCATGTATGATGTCATCATGTGTTGGGAGGTACAGAGAATCCTCAAAATCTGGTGGTGGCAGGGAAGGTGGTACAATCATTTAAGAGGATCATTTGGCAGCATCAAGTTACAACAGGCAGGAAGAACAAAAAACAAAAGCAGGCCCTCCGCTCATGCAGTCCAAGTCTTTGCATGTACTCTCTATGTCCAGAGTGAGACACAGATTATCTTAGAGAAAACCAGGAACATCCTTAACTGAATAATGTAACCATGCCATGGAATATTATATGTCTGTTAAAATGTAGGTAGACTGGGCACTGTGTAATGTGCTTGCAATTCCAGCAATTTGGGAGGCCGAGACAGGAGGACGGCTTGAGCCCAGGAGTTCAAGATCAATACAGGCAACATAATGAGACCCCCATCGCTATTTAAAAAAAGAGAGAGAGAGAGAGAGAGAGAGAAAATGTAAATAAATCAAAAACAAAAAACAAATGTATGTGGATCTGTCCCTTGTTCTGGCATGGAAAGAATTTCAAGGCATATTGTTGGGCAAATAAAGCAAGCTGCAGAACAGTATGATAGCATTTACGTAAAAACAGAGCAAGGAACAAACTTAGTATGCAAATGCAAAGGAAAACATCTGTCAGGGTACCCCCCCAAACTCAGATGGGAGGGAGGAGGGATGATAGTTGTTTCTGTAAAGCTGTCTCTCTGATAAGAATAAGTGACTATTTAAAATCTTTTTAAGATTTTAAGATTGGTGGTCTATGTAAAGCCGATTACACTTGATCTTTATTTTTTGTTTTTCAAATTATCCATCAATAACAATCTGAAAAATAGAGACTTTGCATAGGCAACCCGGATTAAAGAAACTTGAGGAGCTGTATCTACTGTAGTTGGAAATGAAAATCTGGAAATTCAGGATGAATAGTTGTAACATTGTTAAGGATAAAAGCCCCTTTGAAAATCTGTTGAAAGCTACAGACCTTGCTCCCGGGAAAACTACACACCACTCCCAATGCTGCATACAATTTCAGAGAACAAACGGACCCCCAGAAGCCCATCCATGAATCATGGAGCCTAGGTTAAGAATCTCTGATTCAGACAACAGTTAAAGCCACTAAAACAGATGTGACTATGCAGAGAACATGTGTTAGGACTAGCAGAGATGGAATATAGAGCCCAAGGAAACCCCAACAGTGAAAGAGCAGGCAGAGTAGCTGACAGACAAGGAAGATCTGGGCAGTTGTGAGATAGCCAAGCAAGGGGCAAAGACAAGAGATGAGTTGTTGAGTAAGGCTTGTTCAAGAGAGGGGAGATGGTAGCATGAGCTGCTCCACGTCTTCTGCCCTCTCTGCCATCTCTATACTGCTGTCACGTAGATTCTCTGAGAGCTCCACCAATGCAAATAGTGTCATTTACCTTCAGCGAGTGGTGGGCAGTGAATATACAAATGGGACCAGGTCCCATCGTCTGGTCCCAGTCTCATCCTGTGGACTTGTCTCCACTTAGCTCCAAACACACTGGGCCATGGGGCATTTCTCAAATACATCTTTTCCTTTGATGCCTTCATTATTGCCATTTCTTTTATTTAGCACAATGCCTGGCATATTCATAAGGTCCTCAAAAACAGTCAGAGTTTCTTCTTTCCTTCCCAACTCATGGAGACTGTCACTTAATAAAAACATCAATTTGGAGACTCCTCTATGATTACCGCAGTCTGGATCACCACTCCCTTCCCATTCCTGCCCTTTATCTGTGGACTTGCTCCCTAAGACACCGAGTGCAGTAGCTTTAATGTTTGCTAGCTGGCTGAGACAGCCCTGAGGGTCTCAGGAAGCACTGTCTTCCTAGCTAGACTCTGATCTACCAGGGAAGCCGGTAGAAGTGGATACTTAGGAGCTATGTCTGCCAATGTACATAATATGTGCATAGTTTCCCCACAAAATGAAATAAAGCACCAGTCATGAGTCACTTAACAAAAGGGATACATTCTGAGAAATATATCTTTGGCAATTGGGTCCTTGTACGAGCATCATAGGACAAACTTACACAAACCTACATGGTAAGGTGTACTACGCACCTAGGCTATATGGTACAGCTTGTTGTTCTTAAGCTACAAACCTGTACTGCATGTTACAGTACGAATACTGTAGGCAACTAACACAATGATAAGTATTTGTGCACAGGACCACTGTCATATAATGTGGTCCTCCGTTGTCATTATGTGGTACATGACTTGTATACTAAAGGTTTTGAGACCTCAGCTTTTGCAATGGATACCCCTCAGAAAATTATAGATTACAGACTGCGGACTCATGGGGGTCACACAAATAATCAGAACCGCAAATATCAAATGTCACCAACCACAGGGACACAGTTTAAGCCCTACTGACTCTCACAGAAACACCAGTGCAGCATTATGTCCACCTCTGACCCATGTCTACAAAGCAGTGTACTTGGACACCAAATGCACCACTTTTTGAAAAAAAAAAAAGCTTCGTTCAGGACAGCCCCACACAGGTTCAGCCACCCTCAACATTGCGTCCAGGAGGCTCTGCCCCACCCTTTCCTGACAAGTGGGAAAGGAATGCTGCAGGACCTTGAACCCCTAGGTAAATCAGCCTGGCCTTCCCAGGGATGGTTCCCTGCTTACTCTATTTATGAGCTCAAAGTGCTGGGTAGTCAGCTGGCAACGAAAAGGCCTGGTCCTGGAAATGACCACTGCCCCAAAGCCTAGAAAGACAGCAGGAGTTGTTCAAATTCAGCTTGCTTCATTCAGGCACACTGTACTGAGCCAAATCACCCCAGGGCATGGCTCAGGCCTCATCTGGAGGAGGCCTGATATCCATGATCCCGGTCCCATAGCACCGTCCCCTCCCCACCCCCACCACCGAACACACACCTGTAAAGCTCTTTGGGAACTGTTCTGAATGGCTATCACAGCCACTAGATCCAAGACCCTCTGAATGATGAAAAACAGTCAAAGAATTCTAACAACTAAAGCGATGACCTTGAGCCTAATTTCTTTCTCTGTAAAATGAAAGTGTTGGACTGCCGTTCCCAGATTTCAGCACTAGTAAAATTATCAAAACAAAAAAATAATGAATTACTGAGGTTTTAGTTCTCCAAGTGAGAATTTTTTCTCAAAAATTACAAACTATATGTGTCACCATCATTTCCTAAAAGGAATAACATTTAAATCAAAAAAGTTGAAAAGAGGTAATGTCAGAATAAGCGCAGCCACCCCAAGGCAGGCCGGTAGGCAACGGCCCCGACCAAGGAGATCCCGGAGCGGCTCTCCGGCTGTCAGCAAAGGGTCTGCATCTGCCCGGAACCTGACATTCTGGGTACGTCTCAACGACGCGGCAAACAAGCGTCCACTCCCAACGCGAGCAAGTTTAAAACCCAGGAACACAGACACCAAGCACCGGAGTGAAGCATTTCCAGGCCTCCGCGGGTTGCCCCGGGCCGCGGCGAGGACCCGCACCTCGGTTCCCCAGTCGCTCGCCAGGCCCTCGCTCCCGCCGCGCCCCGGGCACCTCCGAGCCTCGCGCCCTCCCCGGATCCCCTAGGGCCGCGTACCCGGACCCCCGCACCCAGGGGGGGCCGCTGTCCTACGCCGGCGCCCCCGCCCGCCCCCCACGTCCGCCCGGCCGCGTCCGCCCAAGGTCGGCGCGAGCGGGCCGTGGGCCTGGCGGGCCTGGCGGGCGGGGACGCCCCTGGCCGGGTCCGGGCCGCGTCCCAGACCGGAGCCCTTAGGCCAGAGCCGCTCCGGGTCCCGCTCCCGTTCCTGCCTGCAGCCGCAGGGGCGCGGGGCCTGCGAGGCGGCACTCACCCGGGCGACGCCATGAGCGCAGCGAGGTCTCCGCTCCCGCCTCCTCCGCTTCCTCCGCGCGGCCGCGGCTCGGCGCCGGGGAGGGGCCTGGCCCGCCGGCCGCCCGCCCGCTCCGGGACGCGCTCCAGGGATGGAGGTGGGGTGAGGTGGGCCCGGGGTCCTCCCGGAGCAGCCCGGGGGCGGCCGGGGCGGGGCGGCCAGGTCCGTCCGCAGCCCGGAGCCCGCCCAACGCCCACCTGCCCAGGTGCCCGGAGGCCGGAACTCGCCGGGCGGTGCCTGCGGTGCCAAAGCTACAGGATAACCTGACCCCGGGCCACGAACCAGCCCCAGGGCCTTAATGAAGTTCACACCTCTCTGTAATTGGAGTTTAATTTCTGTAAGAAAAGCCTTTTCTTTAGCCCTGGAGCGTAAGGCGTTATTATTAAGCAAAACAATAACTTTCCTACTTCTTACTTGCAGTGGTGTGTTGGACAAGTTGCTGGCCTCTCTGAGATGGTACCCATTGTCAAATGTGTGTAAAGTGGCATTGTGAGGCTCTAGGCAATGCGAAGCACTTTTATTATTCTTTATAGTGTGTTATTAAGTAAAAATTATCAATCTGCAGTTCCTCCAGTGAGGTTTCACAGCTACTCTTACAAGTTATGAGTCCTTAGGCAGGTAGATTTTTCAGCTTCAGTTCTTGTCTCTGCAAAATGAGTTTCCAAAAATGATCTAAGTGAAAATGCTTAATAAAAAGCTCTGGACAATGTAAACCATTGTTGATAGCATTTTTAGTGTTATATTAAATATCACTGGCTGAACGCAGTGGCTCACTCCTGTAATCCCACCACCGTAGGAGGCCGAGGCAAGAGGATCGATTGAGCCCAGGAGTTGGAGATCAGCCTGGGCAACATGTTGAGACGACCCCCTGCCCCCCCCCCCGCCCCTGTTTCATTTTTAAAATTAAAATTAAAAATAAAATATCATTAACAACCACTATTTAAAAATGTTTACTACTATTAAGAACACAAGACAGCAAAGCAGTGATGAAAACCTTAGCTCTGAAGCCAGAATACCTGTGTTGGAATCTGGGCTCCACCAATTACCAGCCCCAGGAGCCCCTGCAAGATAGAACCTTTCCAGGGCCACAGTTCCTTATTTGAAAATTAGGCTACAAATAAGTCCCTTCCTCCCTGTGAAGATTAAATGAGTTAACATTTGTAACTATTTTTAAATGTTAGTAAACATTGCATGATGCATGGTCTCTTTTCCTCCTGGGAATCCAGTCAGTGTTTCAGAGCCTCCTTGTCCTCTTCAGAAAAGAAATTCCTAACTGCTGCCTTGAGTTCAGAAGATAATTAATGCTCTGTAAATGGAAGCCGATAAGTAAAGCCATGGGAACTCGTGACACCCAAAATAAGGACAAATCCAGGAGGACCAACCAGGGTTAGGAAGAGTTTGAGGAGTGGGAAATCCTAAATCCTAAATGCCTGATTCAAGGGAGTAATGAAATGAAGGAGATCAGACTAAAAGAGCTTGTTTGTTTGTATGTTTGTTTGGAGACAGGGTCTTGCCCTGTCGCCCAGGCCAGAGTGCAATGGCAAGATCTTGGCTCACTGCAACCTCCACTTCCCGGGTTCAAGCAATTATCCTGCCTTAGGCTCCCAGTAGCTGGGACTACAGGCATCCACTACCACACCTGGCTAATTCTTCTATTTTTAGTAGAGATGGGGTTTCCCCATGTTGGCCAAGCTGGTCTCAAACTCCCAACCTCAGGTGATCCACCTGCCTCAGCCTCCCAAAGTGCTGGGCTTATAGGCATGAGCCACCATGCCTGGCCTAAAATAAGCATTCTTTTAAAAATAAGCAGTACATGTTTACTGACATAAAATCCGGTTCAGAAACTGATAACCCCAAAATATGGCACTTTAACGTGCTGAACTGAAGAAGCCTCAAGGTCTTTCTGACCTCCCTCCCCAATGGTTTCTCCCAAAACACAAGATGTCTTTATCTGCCTAACGTCCAGACGCTCCAAGGAGAACAACTGTTTTTCTTGCCCTCCCTGTAAGACCAAGAATGTAACCACACCTGAAAAGACCCTTTCACAGGATAGCGTACAAGTTAATCTCTGTGCCCTGATCCATCCTTCTCCCTAGTAATCCTTTATTGCCCCTCAAAAGAATTCCTTTCCCCCCTCCTGTAAGTTGTTTTGCCAAGATGGTCTACAAGATTCTGAACCCTGTTGAGTGGTGGGAAATCATTCTGTAATTCTCCCTGTGTACATATTCATAAAATTTGCATGTCTTTTCTTCAAATAATCTGCCTTTTGTGAGTTGATTTTTCAGTAAACCTTCAGAGGGCAAGGGGAAACTTTCCCATGGCCTGTATACTTAACATGAATTTTAGCGTCCCACTATATGGTTAGACCATCATGTTTAACCAACCCCTACTGTTGGACATAAATATTGCTACCAGTATTTCATTATTATAAGGAATGTGAGTAATAAATATCCTTATAGCCAAAACATCCCATAAACACCAATGATTATTTCCTTATGCCAAATTTTGAAGAGTTGAATTTCTAGATCAATAGTATATCAGTATTTTAAGGCTCTTCTGATACATATATACTCTGTGTATGTTTATGTGTATACCTACACACACATACACACTAATATACATATACTTAAATACATTCTATACATACACACATATGTATACATATACCTGCACACATATATGCAGATACACAAATATACATATACACAACATATACACACATATATACAGATTGCCTTCCCAGCAAAATCACCAACACTGATAGTCCTAGTTTTCCACAACACTGTATAACTTTTACAATTTTTCAAAATCATTGCCAATTTCATAGGTTAAAAACCAGTATTTTAGGCCAGGTACGGTGGCTCATGCCTGTAATCCCAGCACTTTGGGAAGCCAAGGCAGGTGGATCACTTGAGGTCAGAAGTTTGAGACAGCCTGGCTAACATGGTAAAACCCCATCTCTACTAAAAATACAAAAATTAGCTGGGTGTGGTGGTGTGCGCCTGTAGTCCCAGTTACTTGGGAGGCTGAGGCAGCAGAATCGCTTGAACCCGGGAGGCAGAGGTTGTGGTGAGCCAAGATCACGCCATTGCACTGCAGCCTGGGCAACAAGAGCCAAACTCCATCTCAAAAAAATAAAAGACACCCTGTTACAAGAGACATATAAGGAAATTGTAGGCTCGGCATTGTGGCTCACACCTATAATCCCAGCACTTTAGGAGGCCAAGGTGGAAAGATCACTTGAGGCCAGGAGTTCAAGACCAGCCTGGGCAACATAGTGAGAACTAGTCTATTTATTTGTTTGTTTGTTTATTTATCTATTTATTTATGAGACACAGTCTCACTCTGTTGCCCAGGCTGCAGTGCAGTGATGCAATCATGGCCCACTGCTGCCTCAACTTCCCAGCTCAAAGTGATTCTCTCATCTCAAACTCCCAAGTAGCTGGGACTACAGGCATGTGCCACCATGTCTGGCTTTTTTTTTTTTTTTTTTTTTTTGTAGAGACAAGGTTTCCCCATGTTGTCCAGGCTGGTCTCAAACTTCTGGACTGAAACAATAACCTGCCTCAGCCTCCCACAGTGCTGGTATTACAGATGTGAGCCACCATGCCTGGTCCCATCTTTTTATTAAAAATTTACACTAAAATATTTTTTCGAAAAGTCCTGACATGGTGGCTCACACCTTTAATCCCAGCACTTTTAGAGGCTGAGATGGGAGGATTACTTGAACCCAGGAGTTTGAGATCAGCCTGGGCAACATAGTAAGACCTTGTCTTTACAAAAAATAAACACAATTAGCGAGGCGTGGTAGTACATACCTGTAGTCCCAGCTACTCAGGAGGCTGAGGTGGGAGGATCTCTTGAGCCTGGGAGGCTGAAGCCACAGTGAGCCAATATTTCACCACTGCACTCCAGCCTGGGTGACACAGCAAGACTCTTTCTCATAAAAATAAATAAATAAAAAGGACATTACATATTGATAAGAGTCAATTCACTAAGAAGACATAACAATGATAAACATGTATGCACCAAACAAAAGATCCTCAAAATATATGAAGCTAACATTGACAGAATTAAAGAGAAAAAAAAAAGATTTCTACAATAATAGTTGGAAACTTCAATACCCCACTTTCAACAACAGTACAATCAGACAGAAGAACCATAAGGAAATAGACAGCTTGAACAGCACTATAAATAAACTGGACAAGCCAGGTGCAGTAGCTCACACCTGTAATCCCAGCACTTTGGGAAGCCAAGGCAGGTAGATCACTTGAGGTCAGGAGTTCAAGACCAGTATGGCCAACATGGTAAAACCTCATCTCTACTAAAAATACAAATATTAGCTGGGTGTGGTGGCACATGCCTATAATCCCAGCTACTTGGGAAGCTGAGCAGGAGAACTGTGTGAACCCAGGAGGTGGAGGTTGCAGAGAGCTGAGATCATGCCACTGATTCCAGCCTGCACCACAGAGTGAGACTTCATCTCAAATAAATAAATAAATAAATAGGGCCAGGCGTGGTGGCTCATGCCTGTAATCCCAACACTTTGGGAGGCTGAGGAGGGCGGATCACCTGAGGTCAGGAGTTCGAGTCTCCTCTCTGAGTTCATCTCACTTGTGTTAGAGGCATTTGAACCACAGCAACTCCATCTTGAATAGACTCTGAGTAAAATAAGGCTGAGACCTACTGGGCTGCATCCCCAGATGGTTTTGTTCCTCAGATTTGGTAATTTCCATTGTCCTATCTTCAAGTTCACAGATTCTTTTGTCTCTTCAAATTTGCTTTGAATCCCTCCAGTGCATTTTTTATTTGTTATTATACTCTTCAGCTCCAGAATTATTTTTCGGTTTCTTTGTAGGTTTTCTGTCTCTTTACTGATACTACTGATAGAGACAGGAGACAGCCATATGCCACACAGGTCGTGGTGCACAGGGTACTTGCCTAAACATGCCCACGGTGAAAAATTCTGTCCCTTAACACATGTGCAGTAAGGGAAATCAATGTGGAGTGGCTAACGACCCACATGCACACTGGAAGAATGGGGATGGAGCCACCAGGAATTCATGCCTTATGCGGGGAGATGAGCCTGGCCTCTTCAGCTCCTGTGTGTTGACCTGGTATTCAATCTGTGAGGTGGGAGCCTATTGGCAGGACCCTCTCTTTTTTGCTGAGAGCTTTCTTTTAATAAATTGCGCTCTCCTCACCTTTCAATGTGTCTGTGTGCCTAATTTTTCCTAGTTATGATACAAGAACCCAGATTTTAGCAGAGCTAAGGAGCAAAAAATCCTGCATCATTTTGGTGGCCCACATAGGGACATGAGGAGGGGTGAGTAAAATGCACACCAAAAAATCTGTTTCCCTTTCCTTTCTGAGCCTTCTTGTCCTCGGGCTTCTTCTGAAGATAAAGGAAACTGCACCCCCTCACCCCATCACTCTCAGGGATTGGGCATGTCAGCCTTGGTCCAACTCAGCCTTTTCTATGGCACTTTCCTTCTTTTTGCAGGACTGTAATGGCACTTATCTTTTACAACCCCAATGGCTGCAGATGCATGCGTGAGAAGGACGGGCAAGTGGTGGCTCCCTGCTCCTCCCAGCTGGGGCTGGGGCTCCTGGCCCAAGGGTCCCATGCAGCTGTCTGTCCAGTGTTCCACGCCACATACCATGGAGTCTTCCCCTCCTCTGGCTGAGAGGTCCAGCTCAGTCCAAACCCCAGGGTAGAAACAGCAATTAAAAGCCATTGCACCCAGCCGAGAAACTTTTACTTGCA